GAAGGTGTGGCATCAGAGATGAAGTGTGGGCACAATTTTCCATCAGCTGGCAATTGATCACCATTTGTCTTCTTTGTTGAATGTCTCCATTAGGTCCAAATTTAGGAGGGGAAGAGGGTTGTTCTATGACAAGCCCCTACCCCCAACCCCAGCACAGGCTCCCATTTCTACTAAGAGGTGGCAGATGTAGTGGGTGAATGGCTGGGCTCTGGAGAAGGATTGTCTAGGCTGGAATTCTTACTGGGCAGGTTTCAGTTTCCCCATCTGTAAAATGGGGATTTTAAAAGTACCTACCACATGTGTCTGTGGTGAGGATTATTGTTGGGCAAGAAGACCTCTGAAGCGCTTAGCACGTGGCCGACATCATAATAGGTGAGCTGTTATTATTGTTCTCATTACTCTGAGAGTACACAATGGCTTTAAAGAAGTTTAAACACAGTTCTTAAAATGATGGCCTCTCCCAGCCTCCAGAAGATCTAGAATGTTTTGGGCAGGAGGAGCTATCCAAGATCTTTTGATGATGAGGGGTAAAGCAGAAGGAAGGACTGGAGGTTGGGCACAGTGTGGGGAAACAGAGAAACATCTGTGTGTGTGCGTGTGGGTTGTGCATGATGGGAACATGTGTAGGATGGTTTTGAAATAGTGTGTGGTGTTTGCTAGTGGATACGTGCTGTTTGGCATAAACCATCAAAGAAAAAAAGAACTAAAACTCTATTTTGCCAGGATAACTCTCATTTGTGTGTATAACTTATTATTTGTGCAAAATGATTGACATATACAATGAGTTTGCATATCATTAAATATATCAGATAAACTTTGCTGTAAATATTATTCAGTTGTAACAACCACTTCTATAAATGTAGTTTCTAATCAGGTGTGGGACCTACTGCTCAGCATGAGTAACAGGGCATATAAACAAGTATTTGTTAAATGCAAATTATAGGAGCTGTGGTTGATGCTCTGCCCAGAACCTCTTGGGTCCCTTTTGTTGTCACCGAGCTCTCCTCCGCTGGCTCCAGTGTGCCATTGCTTCTCGTCTTCAGAGGCCTGCCTTGGGTGACTAGAACTGCTTTGCCTTTGGATGCAGAGAGCTGGAAGCGCCTGGAGTCCATCCTCGCCCTGGGTGGCCCTGAGCCCACAGTGGACAGGTGTGGGAGTATGAAAGCCCAGCATTGCCTCAAGTGGGAATAACTCTGGGGCATAACTTATGTTCCTGAGTCATCAGGAGTGATAACTGAGGATCAGGCTGGTGCTCGCCCCACAGGACTGCCTGAAATTGCGGTCCTGCTTCCATTGTCCCCCTCCCTTACCTGCTCCCTCCACTCCCTTACCAGTTCTTCCTTCATAAAGGATTCGCAGCTGATTCCTCATCACAGCGTCTGCCTCTGGGGAACCTGAATGAAAAGCACTTAACACATGTCGAATTCTGTCCTGGACACAGTGTAAGCACCAGCTCATGGGATCCTGCCCGCGCTGTGAGGTGGTTGTCATCCCCCTTATTTCGTGGAGAGGTGCACCGACTTGAATAAGGAGGAGGGGCAGCGTGTCCTTCCCTGGGGGTGGGTAGAGGTTGTTGCTTTGCCTTCTTCCCTGCCCTCCTGGCCCACAGACATCTTCTTTAACACGACTGTGTTATCGTTTGAAGTACAGCCACCACCTTGGGGTAGTTTATCTGAACAAACAAGACCATATTTTGAATTATTATCCATAAAAAGTGCATTACTGATGAAAGATACCACGGCAATTCTCTTTGTTTCAGAAGCTACCAGACGATTTAGCAACGGGGCTATAAAACCAGTTATGTGAATGACTAGGAAGAACCTAGTGCATTTAGTAAGGCTTCAGGGAGAGCGCTGGGTAAGGCAGACTGTGTGAGGCAGACGGGAGGCGGGGCGAGCCTTTAGGGTCAGACACACCTGAGCTTGAGTCCCAGCATCTCCTCGGATGAGCTTTGTGACCTTGGGCTGGTTATTTAATCTCACTAAGCCTTAATTTTCTTACCTGTAAAATGGAGACTATAATATCTATTTTGTAGGATCTTAAGTAAGGATTAAATAAAAGAATGGCTATAAAGTTCTTGGCACAGCGCCTGGCATAAAGTAAGCACTGAATCAAACAGGTTTTCATTAAAACGGAGCCTGGCACACATTACATGTTGTAACTCAGCGATTCACCCAGAAGCAGAGGTGTATTATTTTCAGACATTGACGATGCAATAAGCAGCTGCTCGTGGACATCCTGGTGGCCACCCCTGGTGTGCAGGCCACACCTGGAGAACCGTGGGTCAGTGCAGCATGGCCTTCTACACAGACGCCAATCTGCTATTTTCCTGGCCGTCTCTGGGATGAACCAACCTTTTTGCATTTTCCGTTCACCAGAGAGAGGAATAGCCATGCAGTACACCTCTGCCCGCTGAATACCCTGCCCACTAGCCAAGCATCTCGCACGTTTTCCAAGACTACATAGTAAAGATGGTATAGCTGTGTTTCTTGTTTAACAATTTATTTTGGGGTCGTTGTAAATTCACATGCAGTTGTAAGGAATAATACAGAGAGATCCCCTATACCCTTGACCCAGTTTCCCCCAAGGGGAATATCTACAAACGTCTGATTTTAAGCAGAATTTTTGAGTAAGTACTTAAACCTACCCTTATTTATGCAAAAGCACTGAAAAATCTGGTTTGCTGTAGTGAGACTGCGAACTACAAGACCCACTGTCTCTCCTGTCAGGATCTGAGAATCAGCCAGCCCGTCGTTTTTGGCATGAGAAACCTTGATTCAAAAGGAGAGCTTATATACACGTAGTCCTTGTTTTACCCCAGAATTAAAACTAAGACTTTTACAAGAAGCATTTTTTCAAAACCGAAATGTTTAATTGTAAACCTCTTTTTCATCTTTTTCCTTGCTCGCCTGATTAGATTCCTTAGAGAGTTAGCATTACCCGCTTCCCAGCCGCGACCATGACGATGGAGACACCACGCCTGTTTTCTCTCCCAGAGGCGGCTCCCATGCCAGGGCCTTTCTGGGGCTGAGAGCCCCATAGAGCATGTGGTAAAAATGTTTGTGGCCGGGAACAAAAGCAGAAAAGCTAAATGCAGTCGGCCTGTTTACCATTTATTAGCAGCATGTCTCGCGGAAGCTCTCGGTTACTAACACAGCGGGGTGCATCGCGGGGATGGCTCTGCGGCCCCGCTGTCAGCATCCGACCTCCCGCACCGGTGGGCGCGGCGGCGCTGGTGTGCACGGCGCTGGTGTAGGCAGGCAGAGCGGCTGTGCGGCGTCTGATAGGATCTCCAATTTATGGATGGTAGAGCAGTTGGCTTTATTTATTGTGTGAAATGTTTTAAGTTTGCTTTTAATTTTTAAAGTCGGAAGCTCTCTCCATCTCCCACATCGTTTGTCATCACCTCCCTTCTCCTTCGCTTCTCTTTTTTTCCTGCCTCCTCGAGTTTCTGAGCACGTCATCCTCGGCCCCCTTTCTCACTGCCTTCCTGTCTTTCCTTACTCTTCTCAAAGATGCTCCCACCTCTCCCTTGCTGCCTCTCAGCTCTCTAAAAAGAAAGAAAAGGGAAGACAAACAGATAAAACCTTTATTAAGACATTTGGCCAAAACCCTTGTAATCCTGTTTATTTCAGATTCATTTTGTTGTCTTCCAAACCCGGGCCTGTGCGGAGCCCTGCTCTGTTTTGCCTACTGGGCATTTGTAGGTATTCAGTGGTAATGGCGCACAGTCCATTTATAGACAGTTTTTTTCCTTTCTTGCTGGGTTTGTGCTGTCTGAATGAGCTGTTTAAATATATGTTTGTAATAGCCACTTACCAAGTGTTTTACACCGGGTGCAAAAGGAAAAAGTAGAAATGACTATTATATAAATCCATGTTTGAAATGCGGCCACGGCCTAGGGCTTGGGGAGTGAATGATGGAGGAGATGACTGTCTCACCTTTATGTCATCTGTGAACAAGGGTGGGCCTGACACTGGCTCCCTTGGGCCACCAGAGGAGATGGTCAGTGGACAAGTGAAAGATCAGTTACTGTGAGGTCACCCCGAACATAATGAGCTAAGACATAGGGGCCGTCAGTGAGAAAGAGACCAAAAGATGGGTCTTGGGAGACTGCCGACTCATATCCAGGACAGCAATGAACTGGAGGAAGACAGGTGTGTGTGTGTGTGTGTGTGTCCAGAGATGAAGAAGGTAGAGACAAAGCCTGGGGCGCTTAGAGGGTGGGGTTGTGGTTGCATGTGGCTTACCTGTCCCTCCTGGTCAGGGGGTAGTTTCTGAAAGGGCAGACCCCCGACTGGACAAGCCAAATAGTTGAATTCAATGATGATCAAAGGTGTCTGTGCAGTCATTTGGTGAACTCTGCCAGTTTCCTACAGATGTGATTGATGTAATAGGGAAATACTCTTTGGCGGTTTGGGGTGCATGTAAGTCTCTGTTACCATTTATTGGAAGGAGGTACAGAGCAGAAATGCATTTCACAAATATATATATGATTTGATAGCATTGTACATAGGGCTGCTTGCCTGCTTTTTGGTTTTCTTTCAATGTAAGGAAATAAGGTCAGACAGGATTTTCCTGTATTCTGGTTTTACCTTTGTGGTGTGTGTATACATACGCCTGTGAGCAATGTTATTTTTCTTAGCCAGAGTATATCTTTATAGCACTTTCAACATGTGTCGGATGTACTTTTAAAGGTGCCAGACACCCTGTTTTATTCTCAGGGGAGTACCTGTGCATTCTATGCAGAGTTACTTAGGGGGAAGAGTTCCTTAAAAACAAAACAATAATAATAACAGTAAAAACCCTAAATTCTCCATGTGCTGATCCACTTGAGCAGAGAACCAGCATCCAGTGTGCATGTGTATGGTGAGGTCAAAGAAAGGGAGGCTAATTCTGTGTCTTAGTCCAAGGGGCAGTGAAAAGAGACCAAGAAATGTGTGGTGAAAAAGACAGAGAAAAAAAGAATGATCTCTCCTCTGGTTTTTCTTCTCTTGCAGTTCCATTTTGAACCCAAAGTGGATGATGCTGTCGGGGCTGAACCACTGACCAGAGTCTGAAAAATTCCCATCTTCTCGTTGGCCATCCATTGAGATAAGATGGAAGACTCTTACAAGGATAGGACTTCACTGATGAAGGGTGCCAAGGACATTGCCAGAGAGGTGAAGAAGCAAACCGTAAAGAAGGTGAATCAAGCCGTGGACCGGGCCCAGGACGAATACACCCAGAGGTCCTACAGTCGGTTCCAAGATGAAGAAGAGGATGATGACTATTACCCGCCTGGAGAAACCTATGATGGGGAGGCCAATGATGATGAAGGCTCCAGCGAAGCTACAGAGGGTCACGATGAAGATGATGAGATCTACGAAGGGGAGTATCAGGGCATCCCCAGTATGAGCCAAGGGAAAGACAGCATCGTGTCAGTGGGGCAGCCCAAGGGTGATGAGTACAAGGACCGACGGGAGCTGGAGTCAGAGAGGAAAGCTGACGAGGAGGAACTAGCCCAGCAGTATGAGCTGATAATCCAGGAGTGTGGTCACGGTCGTTTTCAGTGGGCCCTTTTCTTCGTCCTGGGCATGGCCCTGATGGCGGATGGCGTGGAGGTGTTTGTCGTTGGCTTCGTGTTGCCCAGCGCTGAGACAGACCTATGCATACCAGATTCAGGATCCGGCTGGCTAGGTGAGTGCGTCATGTCAGTAGACAAATTCTGAAAGTGGTTTATTTGTTGAGCACAGTTCACAAATGCAATAAATACTTTTCATCTAGAGCACTGCATTTTTCCCCCAATACTCTATGATGAAAATTTTACACATGCAAAAGAATCAGAAATATTGTACAGTGATGCCCGTAAATATCCACCACATAGATTCTATAGTTAACATTTTCTGTTATTTTGTTTGTCACTTATCCATCTATCTTTCTATCCGTCCATCAATCCAACTTACATTTTTATGCATTTCAAAGTAAGTTGGAGCAATATATTTAACTTATACTATTATAAATGTTTCATTGTTTTCTCCTTTATTAACTTCCAGAAATATGTCCTTGGAAGTTAATAAGGCTATTATATGTAACTTATTTCACACTTTTCTAAATACAGAGATTAATTCTACAAAACCCTGACAAATGTGATTTCAAATTCCAAATTTCAAATTTTATGTATAACACTATGGTTTAAATATTTTGTGGACCCTGCTTATTTTTATTTTTCCTACCATCTATGTGTATGTTTGCTTGTTGATTTCTTCAATTAGGCTTCTTCATAGAATTTTCTCTAGATGATTTTTTGTCTTTTTCAAAGTTTGTACCTTTGTGCCTAAACTGGAAAAACTTCATTTCCTCATATGAATCAAAAATCTATTTCAAATCGTATTAATATTTAAATTACATGTGTTAAAGATAATGTGATTTCTCTGTAAAATATCTAGATAGCAGACTTGATTTTTATTTTAAAGTTACCATGCACGCAAGGTTCATATTGTTAGGAAGCTGTAGTTAACGCTCCCACTTATTTCCCATGTGGGAGAGAAAATAAAAAGGCCGAGACACATGCGCCCAGCGGAATATCCCCAATAACATAAGAGTCCACTTCAAACACTCGGGCCAGAAGTCACCAGGACTCCAAACCCCGTCTGCTAAGCATACCTCAGAGAACGTGTTTACGAGCATATTAAATCTTCATGTGTTTCAGAGTCTGTGAAAGAGAGTAAGAAAACTTACTATCTTTATTTCCAAGGGGCTTTTTAAAACTAAAGCTTGAAAAACAAAAGTATACAACTGTTTTTGTGGAAACCTAGTAACTTTATTAGGTAATGTTAAAATCATGGATGCTGAGAAATTTTCTGTGTGAAAAAAAATTAAATACCATTTCCTAACTTGCCCTGTGACAACACAAGAGAGAGAATCGTGAATGAGAAAAGGATTTGCATCTTATTCGTCTGAAATGTGTGTCTTTCATATGTCCCCCTCCTAGCGATGTTTCCTTCATCACTGAACTGAAAGACGCAAACGCACCAGAGCAGCCTGAGGGCGGGGGGGGGGGGGCATAGTTTGCATGTTTTTGCTGGTGGCCTCATTTGTGTGTTCAACCATCAGACCGCAGAACATCATTCGCAGGAGGGTCCTCAATCATTTGTCAAATTGATCTTTTCAGCATACCTGTTTTGTATCTAGCACTGTATTTTGTTTTTGTTTCTTTCCTTTAATGAGCAAGTATACCCACTGTAAGCCTAGGCATCAAAATATTTATCAAGATTTTTCTAAAGGACTATGTCAGGAGAATATTTTAAGAAGATAGATCCTTAGAAATACATCCACACAAATATTTAATAATTGCAGGCTTACATTTAGAATAAAAATCTTTCCATGTTATGATCCTAACTTTTCCACATTTCAGAAAAGTCTAAGCTAATCTTGTCCTTGTGCCTTTATCTTCTTGGTGCTGGATGGAAGCACGGGATCCCACATGGTTCTCTCATCAGTCTGTCCTGTAGGCCTGTAAACCCTGATGTTGTTATGAACCCCCAGGTGGCGTTCAGAAGTGTAGATAATGCTGTGGAACAACGGGAGCACAGACATTTTCATCTTTCCATAAATGTTGCCTGCTTTAGTGAATTAGAAATGTGTCCCCAGGAGTGCATAGTTTCACTCAGTGTTGTGAGTCCCCAACAGAAGCATCTTAATGGTTTCATAACTGTGCCCTCCAGACTTGCATTTCAATTATTTTGCCATTGTAATTTCACTTATAATTGCATTCTAGCGCGATCTTTTTTAGACAAGCGTTTAAATTGTTTTGCCATTTTCATTTCATCGAATAATAGCTTTGTAATATAATTACCACACTAAGTCATAGCAATGGGATCAAAATGCAAGAAGGAAAGATGTGTGACCCATGTTTGGTGGCATTTGAGGGATATAGATTTGCAAAATTTCTCATTTGCTGCTAAGCATTGTGTCATTTTTCTCAAGGAAGACCAGAAACAAAAAGTGTGAACCAATTTATGTTTTAATTATTTGGGAGATAGACTCTCTCTTTGTGTTTGCTAGAAGATTGACGTAAAGGTGGCTAAGGGCACACCGTGTGTGTGTGTGGTCTGTGTGTATCTATAACCTTGTTAATTGGGCTGTGAAGAAATTAGGGTAAATAATTATCTAATGAGCTGCTCTTTGGGGCCATGAGTGCAGTCATTCTAAGATACTCCATTCTCTATTCCCGAAGTCTGTTTATGGAACACTTATTATGTGCGAAGCACAGTGTTACCTGAGCGGGTAACAGGACAAAAAGAGACAAGGATTCTGCACCTAAGGAAGTTATAGTCTAGGATGGAGGAATCATAAATGTCTGCAGATTACCAGGACAAGGAAGCAAGTACCCATAGCCGTGAGAGAAATGTAAATAGAGACTTCAGGCTGGGAGACCGCGTCATGGTAAGGACCTGACTAAGGCTGTGGAGAGAAGGCATGGACTTGAGAGCTGTTCCAGGGGTCAAGTCGGCAAGGATTTGGCCATCATTTAGTTTGGAAGGGGGAGGAAGCAAGTGGTTAATGAAAGGAAGGCAATTCATCAAATTAAATAATGTGAGAGTACAGGTTTTAGCATGAGGGAGAAAGAGGAAAGGTTTAGTTTTAGGCTTCTCAATTTGAGATCCTTGGGGGTGTCTGAAGAGCAGTGCCCAGTGGGCTCTGTGCCATTTGGGATCCATCTCATTTAAGATGAAACTGCCGAGGACCTTAACCAGGGAGAGGGCGGTTTCCTGCTGAACTCTATTTATGGGGCTGGTGGTAAGGAAGACGGAGAAAGAGAAGCCAGAAGAGGCGCAGGCAGGAGAGAGGGGAGGTCTGGACAGTTGCTGGGAGAAGGAAGGGCTGTGTAACTCTTAGGCTTGCGGGAAAGGCTGGCGCGGGTTTCTCAGGTCTGCATTTAAGAAGTTACTGGTGCTGCCAGTGGCTCTTAAGAGGAAGACACTGTGCAAGGCAAAGTGAATAAACGATTCTGTAGCTAAATAACAAGAAAAAACTTTTTAAATCTTATCTGGAATATCTGTGACTTCAGTTGCCACTCTGGTCTTACAATAGTTTCTGTGTTTGATAAAGCAGTAATTATGGAGTGGCCATTATGTGTGGGGTGTGGCCCAAGGCTCTGTAAGGAAGATTGAGATGAATAAGGCTTGGTTCCTGTTGTCAGGGGAAATCATATTTTCCAGCTGTTGGTGTCTTAGTGATTTAGGCAAACCCCGTCATCTTAACAATGAGGGTAGGAGACCTGGAGAGTGTGGGTAACGTGCCTTGTCCGTGCTGGGTATTGGCTGAGAGAGACTGTAGACCACATGTGCCACTTCTCCCAACTCTCACTCACACGTTCCTTCCCGGGTCTCTAACATTTCCATTTAAAGTCCTCTTGATTGGGTTTACTCCTGGAAGAATACAAGACTCTCAATTATTGGCAAAAATAGACTGCTCTGGTATTTCAAGCAATGACCTAGAAATTCACCAGTTTTTGTGGACTCCAAAACTGTAATTACCTGTCGAAGTTACACATTTTTCTCCCTTTTCCAAAACCCTAAAAGAAGATGTTGCCTGCTTTTTACTTATAGGCAGTACATAATGGCAACAGGCACAAATGAGAAATCTGATTGCCTCTGAGAATTAACCTGTAAAATCAGCCATACTGCTATGTCGTCTGAAAGGGGCAGAGCAGCAGAAGTTAAAATAAAGAGAGGGAATGTGAGCCCCATGGCACCACGGGTTTTGTCTGTGTTGTTAACTACTGTATCCCCCTGCCCAGATCAGTGCCTGGTACGTAATAGAATCTCAACCAATATTGGTTGAATGAATGAATGACAGCCTCTGAGATCGTTAACACTTTGAGACCTCGTTGATGATATAGGTATATCTACAGTAAGAATGTGTTATTTCGAATGGGAATTCATCGGTAGTGGAGGAACACAAGAGGGAAAGCCACAGATGCAGATGTTGGCAGTGCCCTTCTAAATGCTGCTCAGGGTTGGGGTGCCCCGAACTAAGGACTTAACCTATGTGGTTTGGGGGCCACATGGATCCCTATGGTAGGGAAGGCTGCATTAGGCCTGGAGTCCATGAAGACATGAACCCGTAGCAAAGACCTGTCGTTCTAATGCATCAAAGCAAGTTGATTTCAAATTCAGCTTTCTCTAGAGTTTGCCCGTCAAGAATGTGCCTGCCAAGGACGCCAGTTGTCTTGGCAATTCAGTTTTTCATTTTAGTTAACCAATTGGCATTCTGGTTTTTTCCATCTGTCATGGTGAGGTTGGCTATTAGGAGTCTGCTTCTCCCATAGATCTGTCCTGGGCGTGTGTGACATGTTCAGTTTCTGAATGTGTAGGGCCAACGTCCAGACCAGGACTGGACCAAGGTAGCTAGCACCCTGGGAGGCCCACCTCGGCGGTCACCCGGGATTCCCAGAGAAATATCCTATCTGCAGTACATCCCAGTTTTCCTTTAAAACATCTACAATATTAGCTGGAGTGATTGGCATATTGGGCAAAATCAGAGGTAGACCAAGAACATCAAAGCTTTAAGATGAAGATGTTTGTAGATGCGAATGGAATTTTACTTGACATTTTTCTTTCATTTTTGGAAACTCTTGAAAGTTTTAAAAAATATTTCTAAATAATTCTAGAATAAATATGTATTTTTGTGAG